TCACTTTTCTGGGCTGTGTGCATGACATCATCTGCGTTCAGCTCCTAGTTTTATTTTTATAGTGTCCTAATTATGTGCGGGGTGGAACCAGATTACATGTCTACTTGTCAGGTCACATTGGGAGTTCTACAGCAAATATGCAATAACCTGTGTGTCTTGTTTGTAACATACGGTACATCTCTGCCATGCATGCACATTTCCTGTGTTTTGTCTCTGCAGAATGCTCCAAGTATAGGAAAGTACATGTTAATCACTCAGAAGTCCAGCATGCTCCTAACGTCCTGGACATGTGGTGGCTACATTGGATTTTTTTTCCTTCATTGTCACACACTTGCTGTTGATAATTAGGTTGGGACTGAACCCGGTCCAGGCCTGAGCTCCTCCAAACTTCTCTGCAGCTGCAAGTAAGCCAAGGGGTGAGATGCAGTGACATAATTTACCTTATATGGCCACATGCCTATATTTGGTGAATGACCTAGACCTAATATAAGCATGTGATCAGATAAGGTCAGGTGTCCTGCCCCTTTGTTTATGTGCCCTGACCTCCAGCTGATTGGGCAGGTGACTGGTGGCACTTCTGTGTTTATAGGATCGGTTATATTGGTTCAGACCAGGCTCGGTCTAAACCGGAGCTCCTTGCTTGTGATAGTGCTCACTCTGTATGTATGAAGGAGCTGAATTTTTACCCTAGGACAGGATGCTTGCTAATATTACAGAACACCTCCCTTTTTCCTCATCTCCATAGCACGGGGGGTGTTCTGTAGTCAAGTGAGAGCTGGGAACAATGTTAACTAACCGCATAGGCAAATAGCATTGGCGCTCAGAAGATTTCTGGCAGGACCAATAGGAGTTTTTTTTGCACTTCTCAAACAGATGTAACAAAATACTTGCAATGGTGGTTTTTATGAAGCCTATCTCCAGAAATACCTGGGAAGTAGGACTGGACCTAGTGAATGGGGCTTAATGCTGGGGAAGAGACTAGTTCAGTCATATATGTTTTAGTTCTGCTTTGAGATGTTTGTTATAATATTGCAACAGCAATTCCCTTTGCTGTTTCATTGCTAGTATTGCCTGCAAAAAAGTCTGCTGCTGCGGCCTAACACTTTCCTTAGTAAGGGAAATTAAAACTAGATGACTGTCTTAACAGATGGACTTCAGCTCGAGGTTCATAGGTGGTTGTGGGGCGTGTGCCAATGTGAATCGGAGTGCTTGAGAATGCTGCAGTCTGTGCTGAAGATAAAAGCTATATGGGAGGTTTTTCTCCAGTATTGTGCGCTAGTTCTTTCAAATATCTTGACCTCTCAGAAGGAAACCCACAACCCTTTAAACATGCTGGATAGATCCCAGAACACAATATGCTGAGTTATTAAATGATTGGCAGAATCTAATCCTAAAAGTTCATGCTAATCTATCAAGCACTGGTTGGTGAAACATAGGAAGATCTGTGTGACAAAGCGGGTGGGCCAAGCTCTTCAGTTCAGTGTAGTAGTAGGTCAGGTTGGTTTGCATAATGGAGTTCCACAGGTTTTTTTCCAGCTCTGGACCACAGGATCACTTTGTAGTGCATCCAAAGGCAAGAACAAGAATGCCATATTTTGCAACTTACCACTCGTTGGTTTTTCTTTGTTTTTTTAAGGTTTTGTTCAAGTTTTCACCTGGTGATCTGGCCAGTAACCCACTTCCTGTCCTAGGGCAAGGCTCACTCTTCCACTGTATTATGGAGGAGCAGTAGCCTTGTCAACTCGTGGAGAGGGTTGTGTTAGATGGGTTAACAGGTGTTGGTGTAGCATAGTGCAGATCTAATCATGAACCACCATGCAGATGTTCAGCAATAGATCACTGCTTGCAATAAACCAAAACACAGCGCATGGACCATCCCTGTCCTTTTATGAAAGGAGCTGCATGACGAGTGCACTAAAGGGCCTCGTGATTTGACTCCACTTGGGCCACTATGGCTTCAAGGGTTAGGAGCACCAGTCGAGGTTATTCACAAAACTCCATGTTATCAGCCCTGGCTGAGGTTCACCCTGTTAAACTACAGAACACCTCCACTTTATGGAAAAAGAGGGGCAGGTGTTCTGCGGTGGAAAAGTGGGCAGGACTGACAACATTACCTGGAATTTCAGTGAGGCAGTGTTGTCAGCTCACTGCAGGAAGTTAAAACAATCTCACTGGATTTTTGGCAGGATCAAAGCTTATTTTTCTGTGCTTGCAGGGGTTTTTGAAGGAATAAAAGGTGGAGTGATGTACTTGTATTGCAGAGATGTTCTAAATGTATAAAAGGAGCTTGGAAAGTCCTAAAGGATACATGCACTTTGTTATAAAGTGCACTTACTCTTCATATGTGCTCAAGACATGCACTTTTATTGTGTCTTCTGCAGAATTCTAAAAGAAAATTGCTTCAGTAGTATTTTCTGGCTATACAGCTGTGGAAGTGTTTGTAAAGTCATGTTTATGTGAAGAAAAAAAACTTATTCCAGAATGATCCTCATTGCAGGCAACATGGCAAAAAGAGTAGCTGACAAGGAGCTGACCGACCGCAATTGGGATCAAGAAGAAGAAGCGGAGGATGTAAGTGAGCTTTGTACATGGTGATAGTTGGGATTTGTAGAGCTCTGCCATGCTTTAGTTAATAGCTTTGTGAAAATATGAATTGCTATTAAAGGGTAACTGAACTGTGAAAGTGAAGATTTGCTATGTTATAGGAAACATTTAGACATGTTAGTTGTTCTACGCAGAACCTGAAAAATTTACGTTTTGTCTGGAATTCCTCATGAAAAATACCAGTTCACTTTCTAGTATACGAGTATGTCTAGGCTGTATATCTTCAGTGTGAGATCGAAGGTACTGCTGCTTCTGACTGCTAGTCTCACCAAATTTGGAGTGTGATTTGGTGAAATCACTACTGTGTTGCAAACTGTTCTCCTTGCCTTCTACCTAGATAGCCGCCTCCACACAGGGGCACATTGGAGAACAAGGCATGGTGTGTTATGAAGGAAAAGATCAGCTGCAGGGATACCACAGGCATAACCAGCGAATAGTCCTTTTGTGATCTGCCTCCTTTTTTCTTTTTTTGGCACTGCTTCCAGACTTGAATAATGTTTTGGTTTGGACAAATCAATGCACAATTAAGTAGCCAGTTTGATTTTCTTTTTAGAAGCGTTGCCTGGCTCTTGAGGGTTTGTCCAGCCTTTCAAACATCTTCTTACTCCATGAAACTATACCAATTTTCCTTAGTTGTAGGTCTAACTAAAACATGTTATTACATCTGTGTTGTTTTTTCTTTACTGTATAGGCGGGAACCTTCTCTGTAGCAAGTAAAGATGTTCTGAAGAACAGGGAAATTAGGAAAGCAAAGAGAAGGAACACTGGAAGTGATGTAAGTCTCCTCCTCGTCATACACTCTATGGCTAAAAGTTTGTGGATGCCTGACCATCACACCTACAGTGCATTCAGAAAGTATTAAAACCCCCTTCACTTTTTTCAATTATGTCATGTTGCAGCCTCATACTACAGTTTTAAATTCTTTTTTTCCCTCCTTAATCTTCACTCAGTACCCCATAATGACAAAGTGAAAACAGAATTTCAGAAATGTCTGTGAATTTATTAAAAAGAAAAAAACTGAAATATCTCATGTACTTATTCAGACCATTTACTAAGTACTTTGTTGAAGCACATTTGGCAGCAATTACAGCCTCGAGTCTCTTTGGGTATGACGTGACAAGCTTTGCACACCTGTATTGGGGGATTTTCTGCAACTTCTTTGCAAATCCTCTCAAGCTCAGTCAGGTTGGAAGGGGACTGTCAGTGGACAGCCATTTTCAGGTCTCTCCAGTAATGTTCAATAGGGTTCGAGTCAGGGCTCTGGCTGGGGCACTCTAGGACATTCACAGTTGTCCCTAAGCCACTCCTGTGTTTTCTTGGCTTAGGATCGTTGTCATGTTGTAAGGTGAACCTTCGGCCCAGTCTGAGGTCCTGAGCACTGTGAAACAGGTTTTAATAGAGGCCATCTCTGTACGTTCGGCTTTCCCTCAATCCTGACCAGTCTCCCAGTCCCTGCTGCTGAAAAACACATCCACAGCATGATGCTGCCACCACTCTGCTTCACTGTTGGGATGGTTGGTATTGGGCAGATGATTAGCAGTGCCTGGTTTCCTCGAGATATAACATTTACAGGGGTGTGGACATTTTAGAAAAAACTACTTGTCCAAGGACTAAAGCGGGGGCCGAATCTACTTGTCCAGATACAGGTACAGATAGTACACCCGTACTGGTGGACGGGAAGGACGGTTTGCCGAAAAGGTAAGTATAGTGGGAGGGAGATTTGTGCGGGTAATTCCATTTTCCCAAATTACTTGGGAAAGTGAATTTACCCTTTAGACCCTGTTCACATGTAGCGACATACCTTTGCAGTGGCCGGGATAGCGCGACTTTCGGGGCGACGATCCAGCAACGGTAGCGCGACCTTCTCCATCGGGCTCCATAGAAAAAAAGCAAAATCGCGCAAAATCCGCTGAAAAAAGGGTCCGGTAGAAGCGACGAGCGACATGGAGTTAAGACAGCTCCATTGAATAGCATTGGCTGGCGACTTCTCGCGATATCGAGCGGCAAAAATGCGCGATAAGTCGCTACATGTGAACGGGGCCTTAGGGTTGGTGCAGACTTGGGGATTCCCAGGACGTGCGATCGTGTGCGGTTGCATGCGCATGTATGGGGTTACATCTGCTTGGCAATCGCTGAAAAAAGGTACCTATTTTCACGACATGCACCGTGCACTGTTTTTAACCGTTATCGCCCGCGGCGGTATTGCAGCAGGAAAACGCGCAATCTGCCTGGCACGACTGGGGTGTCATTAAAAAATAATGGCACTGCCAGCGCAATCGGCGGTGGTGTACGATTCCGTAACCACCCAGCCATCCGCTCGGTTTCGTGCATGATGACCGTGCAGTCACGGATCGCACACCACTGCCGATTGCGCTGGTAGTGCCATTATTTTCTAATGGCACCACAGTCGTGCCAGGCAGATTGTGCGTTTTCCTGCTGCAATACTGCCCTGCCCGAGCGGTTGCACACGATTGCAGTTGAAAACACTGCGTGTTTATTCGCATGCAGATGGGGACAGCGGGGCTGGTTTTCATTTTTAACATTTTTATTTACTTAGGACCGAGCAGCAGCCGCCGGGTACAGAGGCTGAGGGAGGTGACAGAGCCTGTCACAGCTCCACTGTCTGGCTTCGTCACGGCTCCACGCCCCCTGCCACGTCATGGCTCCACGCCCTCCGCTCCGTCCCTAGTTGTCAGCGATCCGCCCCCGCTCCGTCCACGTCCCCCGCTCTCGGCGCTCGTTTAAGAAAAAAAACCCAGCCCTGCTACTTGTCCGTAGCAGGGCTAAAATAGTGACCAAACAACTTGCCCGGCGCCCGGAACTACATGTCCCGGGCGTCGGGCGATACGAATTCCACACCCCTGCATTTAGAATTGAGGCCAAACAGTTCAATCTTGGTTTCATCAGACTATAGAATCTTGTTTCTCACAGTCAGAGTCCCTTATTTGCTTTTTTGCAAACTTCAAGCGGGCTTTCGTGTGTGTCTAGCCACTCTGCCATAAAGGCCAGTTCGGTGGAGGGCTGCAGTGATGGTCGTCCTTCTGGACATTTGTCCCCTTTCCACACTGGATCTCTGAAGCTCAGTCTCTGTATAAATTGGTAAACTAAATGTGTGCCTGGAGTCCATCATAGGAGTGAGTTTGGAGCGGTGGCTACTTTACAACATACACAGGGACCATGGGGGACAAAATTAGCCACTCTCCAGACGGAAGGACAGTGTCAGCACCAATTCAGAGATTATTTGAGGATCTACAGCCGAGTGATACACAAATAAGATACATTTTTGTTATTAGTTGGGGTACTTGAATGCATATTTTAAGATTTAAAGGAGAACTATGGGGTTAAGGCTTTTCCCCATAGTTCTCCTTAGGGTAACGGGAGGACACAAACTAGCGTCCTCCCGTTACCCTAGGCTCAGTATACCGCGAGCAGAAGCTCGCGGTATACTGAGACGCTGAAGCGGATCCCGACAATTGTGCCGGGATCCGACCAGCTACGTGACTGACAGCGCGCTCTGCCTATTGAGAGGCAGAGCCAGCTGTACCCTCCCCGTCCGTTCCGCCAGTCAGCGCTGGCGGATCGGGGAGGAGGGAAATCCAGCCCCTCCCCTGTCACGGCAGAGAGCCGTGACAGGATCGAGAGGTGAGCGAACGCCGGTATGTGTTCGCTCACCTCCCGATCTACTGAGCCGACCTCTGACAGTCTCATTGTCACAGGTCGGCTAGAACTATGAGGTGAGTGAAAAGCACTCGCCTCATAGTTCTCCTTTAACTCCTGAGCTTAGTGTCACTTTAACTTCCTCTGCACCAAAAGCATCAAACCATATCTGGAATTCATAAAGAGTGTCTTGGACCAAATTCTGTCACGCCTCAGCACAAAAAGTGTTGCTGTCTGCAACAGATTCATGTACCTGTTCTAGATACAGCCATAACGCAAGAACTGTTACAAAAACTTGATTGAATCGCCCCGTATGTCTTTATGGAGCTGGCATAGTCATGCTGGAACACATAACAGTTCCCCAACTGTTGTCACAATGGTCTAAAATGTCTTTTGCTGTAATACCCTTCAGCGGAAAGACAAACATTTTTTTTTTAAACTCGCATACACGTGGATTCAGATCCAGGGGTAGTCATGGCTGACTTCTTAAAATGCTAATTGACTGGCTGTCTTTCCCTCTAATACCTTCAGAGTCCCGATCCGAAAGCAAACCCGCAGCTAATGAAGTCAGAATTCTGGATATACAGCATGGATGAATTCTGCACTCTCATGTGGTGATGTTTTGCAGTCAGACACCATGCTAGAGTAAAGTTCATTTTGTGCTTTTCTCTGGCATGCTGTTTAGCCGCATGTCTGCACATGTGAGCACAGCTTCCCTTTTCCATGTGTAATTATTCTACATTCCTTGTGTCATTTGTGCCCATTTCCTAGATTGAGTCTTAAAAAAAAGTCTTGGTCTACATACCTGTTAACCACTTGAAGTCTGCGGTGTTAAACCCCCTTCCTGGCCAGGCCATTTTTCAGTATACAGATAGAGCTTTCTTTTGGTGGGATTTATAGCAGAAGGGGGGGTGCGCAGCCAGACAGCACACACAACCGATCAGCAGGCTATAGAGCCGCTGATCGCTTGCATGTAAAACAGCTGGTAACGGCTGTGTACAACGGACTGTTTTTTTTTCTGCCTGTGCGCGCGACCAGAAAAAGAAAGCAGTCTATTTACGGCAATCCGCCCATGTGAGTCTGCCGGAGGGAGGAAGGTCGGCAATAAAAGCCTATGTATTTTTTTTATGTTACCTTTTAATTGTATATCAAGACAAAATAACATCAGCAGAAATGCACTACGCTTCTAAAGCTGGTTATGCACTGAGCCAATTCATCAGTTCGCTCAGTGTGTGGCCCTGCCTGCTGCCTCACAACAACCTTCACCCAACAACCTTCGATTGAAGCTAGGAGGTAAATTGTCGGCTAAACCGTGCCTGCATTCAATCAAAATCAGTTATCTTGACATCCAGTGGAGCTGACTGTCAAAATACAATAGCCACAGTGGGCATTTCCTTCAGCCATGCTAATGGAATCTGATAGATATTTTCTGTTTAGGCCAAAAGCGGGAAAAAATAAAATAAAAATCGAACATTTTAGTCCTGTTGCGGGCTGACACCACAGCATTTTTGTGGACTGAGTTATTTCAGCCCTCCTATGTTTTTTTTGCTGAAGTAATAACCCGCTCGTACTCTCAGATCTCTACAGCATAAAGGCTATTCATTGTGTAGTCCAAGATAAGAGGGTTAGGAGGGCTAATCAGCCTCTTTGAGATAACACAGGCAGAGAGCACAGGACCACTCAAAATGTTTGACAAGATCCAACAAGTTTTTTTGCACTCGTATACCAGGTATAACAAAATGCTTCCAATGGTATATTTAAAAGACCAGGCAGGAGCGATATTGGGGATTTACATAGTTGGTTGAAAAAAGTCCTTCAAGTTCAACCTGTAAGGGGAAAGGAAAACCACCCTATGCTCACAATTGATCCAAAAGAAGGCACCCCCTCCTATAACGCATGGTTCAATTTGCCCCAACAGGGGAAGAAAATGTCCTTCCTGGTACCATAAGGCAATTGGATATTCCCAGAATCAACAATCCTCGTGTTGTGTGGGTGTTTTTTTTTTTTGTTTTTTTTTTCCCTCACTTCTAAAATGTTAATCTTTAGTTATATTCTGTGCAGAATTAAAGTGTAATGGTAGTCTTTTTAAAAACAGGACATATCTATTGCCAACCTCTCCTCCCCTTTTCCCAGAAATTTCCTAGTACAAATGGCTGTAGAAAGCTATATACACCAAGCTGACCCACAACCACAACCCCTCAACAAATACACTTTACCTGGACCGGCATTGTTTCTGGGAGGCGTAGTTCATATCACCGTTTGCCTTTCTTGGCAAAGCTGGGAGTTGGAACTTCTGTGAGAATGCACTCCAACCCATTGCAGAATTTCAAGCTCCGTGCCTTTTGCATTAAAGAGGAGCTTTATACTCAAAAATCAAATTCTACCAATGCATCACTCTATGTATGATTTAATAACAGACATGTCAGGTGTAAAATGCTGTGATTTTGAAATACACTTGCAGAGCATTCACTTCCTGCTTTGAAAGGGCAAAATGAAAGTGTGCATTGTTTTGGCAGTATGCCAAAGCAATGCACACTAGGATTGCCTTGTCATCAGCAGAGCATTGCTGGGAAATCTCATCTGTAATCTCAGGGAAAGGCATTTTCCTCCCCTGAGATGATGTGCATGGTCACACGTGCCAGAAATCCAGGAAGTCATGGGAGAGCTAGTTATCTGCCCTTAGTAAACATGGCCACTGTAAGAAGACTGGGAAAGAAAAGAGCAATAAGGTGTTCGAAGAATGCAAATTAGTAGTGGAATGCAAAAAAAACAAAACCATGGGTGCCAGATAATACACACGGCAGTGCTGGTCAATATAAAAAGGATACAGGAAATGCACATACTGTATATAGTGTACAGCTGATTGCTAGCAGTAAGACGAATATATAAACATGCGCTAAAACGGCTGAAGAGTGCAGCTGTGAAGACCCATTTGTCTAACAAAGGTCATCTATAGAATGTCTTCTGTTCTTGTCTGGTAGCCAGAAATCCTGTGATCTAGGATTTAGGTCACATGAGGGATCCTGGGAGCTTTACCAATAAATGCATTTTCCTTTCCTTCTAGTCCGAAAAAGGAGGAGCCTTCAAAGGCTTTCAAGGCTTGGTATCCTCTGGAGCATCATTTACTGGATTTGGAAGTGTACCTAAACCAATTCAAGGATTAACCAATGGAAACGGTGACACATCCCTGTTCAGCAATTCAAAGTCTACAACTGAAAGCAAACCTGTTTTTGGTGAGTTATTTTTTTCATTTGTATTGTGTGCTCTTACCAACCAACAGGAGAGGGGGGCATGGGCGGTATAGGGGGAATCAGGACACAAGGCCCGGGTCACTCTTGTTGCAATGTGCTAATCTTTAAAACAAAAACATTATTTTGTGCAATGCATGTGGGTGGGGGGGGGGCTGTGCTGCATGCAACTAATTTATAGCAGGCATCATCGTTTAAAAGTTTATCACGGATTAAAAGGTATAACAAATTGTGGCTTTTCAGGTGCACACAAGTATAAAAACTTTAAATTTGTTAAATTTAACATTAAAATGCATATACTTTGACATATATAGGATCCAGGATCAACATAAAATCAAAACGGAATAAAATATGAGCTCAAATTGATGAAAGTCGCCAGAGTAGACCAAGGCAGCTATCAGCATACTCCTCCACAAACTAGACCGCAAATGACTTGTGTAGTCCCCACAGGTGATTTCCTGTTTAATGTCAATGTAGTTTGGGGTCTAATGCTGTAACTTGGTCCTCATATTCATGCTATGTGTTTCACCCCCAAGGGGCTTCCTCAGGAAACGGCGATCTATATACTGTCAGTGAAGATACAAGAAAGAAATCACTACATAATCATTCTAACAGAAACCTATATAGCAAATAAATACATTTGTTAAATGCGCTTTCAACTTTGTAGAGCCCAGCTGCATATCACCACAGCAGGAAAACGTATGTGCTGGGGGTCACGGAGAGGAAAGAAACCAACCAATGACACCCGCTGTCGGCCTATAGTCTGACCGAATAATGAATATTTGCTAGATCACATGGGAATGTGAATCCCCATTATAAGAAAAATATATATAGCACAATGTATAGCATGAGCTAGTCTATGGAATATAAACCGCTGAATTCCTCAAGCAGGCTGGTTTTATGGAGGCAGTTCAGCGGTTTATATTCCATAGACTAGCTCATGCTATACATTGTGCTATATTTTTCTTATAATGGGGATTCACATTCCCATGTGATCAAGCAAATATTGATGATTAGGTCGGACTATAGGCAAATAGACTATAGGCGGGTGTCATTGGTTGCTTTCTTTCCTCTCCGTGGCACCCGGCATAGACGTTTCCTGCTGTGGTGATATGCAGCTGGGCTCTACAAAGTTGTAAGTGCATTTGACACGTATGTATTTGCTATATAGGTTTCTGTTAGAATGATTATGTAGTAATTTCTTTCTTGCATTTTCACTGACAGTATATAGATCGCAGTTTTCTGAGGAAGCCCCTTGGGGGTGAAACACGTAGCATGAATATGAGGACCAAGTTGCAGCATTAAGCTGGCCATACACCTATAGATTTTCTACGGTCAGATGGCAAAAGTGCAACAGATTCCCCCATCTCTACTCTAAACTCTATGGATGGAGGAATCTCCCACTGGATGCAGGCATTGTTCGGGTATTTTTAGAGCCAGCGGGGCCGACTAGCAAGATACTGAAGCTTGGCCCAGCGGGAGATTCCTCCATCCACACAGTTTAGCGTAGATAGAGGAATCTGTTGCACTTTTTCCATCTGATCATTGAACATCTGCAGATAATCTATAGGTGTATGGCCAGCTTAAGACCCCAACTAAATTGACCTTGAAACAGGAAATCACCTGTGGGGACTACACAAGTCATTTGCGGTCTAGTTTGTGGAGGAATATTTGAGTATGCTGATAGCTGCCTTGGTCTACTCTGGCGACTTTTATTAATTAGAGCTCATATTTTATTCCGTTTTGGTTTTATGATGATCCTATACATGTCTTATGTATATGCATTTTAATGTTCAATAAATGTAAGGTTTTTATACTTTGTGTGTGTGCACCTGAAAAGCCCCCATTTGTTATACTTTTGATGCTTATTAATAGGGGTGGGGTGCAGGGGTGTAGTGGGCTTCTGTAGGTTTTAATAGTTTGTGGTTGTATCAGTCTACACCTGAGGGAAGCACGAAACTGCCATTGCTGACTCCTGCAAACGCTAGCTGACTGTCATGCTGACCCTCTTGCTTCAGTACATGGAGCAAGTTTCCAGATGAGGACTTCTGACTTTTTTTTTCTGACTCTGCATATTGGAGTTGGTTGATCAGTAGAAGGTCAGTAATGGTGTCTGTAGTTCTCTCACGATCGGTATACTTTTACCTTCGGTCAGCTTTTATCAGTTGCACAAATATGAGCTCTGCTTTAAATCATGACTAATTAGTTTGTTGGGTTTTTTTTCTCGTCAGGGTCTCTCTTTGCAAATGGCCCACCAACATCCTTGTCCTCAACAATAGAAGTAGCTTCCACCACTGCGAAAACGAATGGTGAAACGCTTTCATCTACCTCTAGTCCTGCTGCAAGCAAGCCTGGCGGCTCCAGTGAATACAACAAACAGTTAATGTCCCTAAACAGTGCTGTACGGGACTGGATAGTGAAACATGTGAATGCCACACCTCTGTGTGACCTGACCCCAATTTTTAGAGACTACGAGAAACATTTGGCTTGTATTGAACAGAAGTATGGAGCTGGCACAGACAGCGGATCCGAGAGCGACAGCACTTCCAAATCAACCCCCTCCGTTCCCACCCTTTTCTCTTCAAATACAGAGGCCATGCCGACCTTCTCCTTTTCCAGCAAAGAAGAGAAGTCGGAGCAGATGGCAAAGTCTACAACAGAGAAGAAACCTGAATCGGCTTCCCTTTTTTCCTTCAGTAAAAAGCCAGACACTGCAAATTTCAGCTCATTCGGCACTGGGACAGCATCCACGTTCTCTTTTAAAGTGGGAGCCACCAGTCTGTTAAGTAATGATACAAGTAAGAGCAGTGCCGGGACGCCATCATTTTCCTTCCAGGCGGAGGCAAGCGCCAAGAAGGAGTCGTCGGGTAAGAAGTACATTCTAGCTAGAGTTTTTCCTCTACAGTTGGACCATGTCATGTTTTCAGAGTTTACTTTATAGCAGACCTCAAAAAGCATCAAATATATGTCTTTGTGTTACGTACATGCATGCTAAGTAATGTGTAAGTGTTCTACTGCCAGGTACTTATTACCTCTCACGGAGATCACCGTACTCCCCCCGACAATACCCTCATCTGCTGTCATCTTTGTTTAGGTATCATTCAGGATCGGCTGCGTTGCCAGCTCAGACATGGTACAGTCATGTAATCCTGGCACAGTCTAGATGCTGTCTCAGCTCCATGCTGCCTTTCATCCTGTAACTTGCTACAAAGTTACAGTATTAAAGTTGGAATGATCATCTAGGGAAGTAGAGGCCGGATAGCCCCCTGTTTGCTGTTGGCTATTGCAATTTGAAATGGCCAATTTTTTTTTTGCTGTTTTCTTGAGAGTGTTGGTTGCTTGACTACCACATAATGAGGAGGTTACTGTAATACCTTTGCTGTATTTTGGACAGACTGGTAAAGTAAAGCTGGGTACACACAAAGGCTGAACGAAAAAAATGTGCCCGCTTCCTCTATCCACACTAACAGAATGAATGAATCTCCCACTGTGTACATTGAATTCTGACAGTGGTGCTGGCCACTATCGGAATACCCGAATAGTGCTTGCAGGTGATTGGCTGCAAGCACTGTTTGTCCAATGATTTTCTACCATGCTCCTTTGGCAAAGGTTTATCTAATGATCGACTTCTGTCAAGAGGATAGGGCTACCAACAGATCGAATTTTGGCTGCATTAGCCAAAATGTGTTCCTTGTGCTTCCAGCTCTACTCCTAGGTCTGCTTTAACCTCTTGCCGTCCGCCCGTAGTAAAAAAACGGACGGACGGCACTGCAGCATCTGCGGGTCCAGACGGCAATTTTTTTCTGCTCGCGCACCCAGGCAAATACTGGTATAAATAAAAATAGAATTCCCTTTTGATTCTCGCAGTAAATTAGCTTAAATTTGGTTTTAGATCTTTGCTGATTAAATGTAGTCACTCAATCACACAAATGTACTAGTCCTAGTCACAGTTATGGGTTGGTGTATACTGCCCATTGGCTTATATTGGAGGTTTCCTCAAATGTGTGATCTGCCTGCCATAGGTGGCTTCTCATACTTAAGTGTATTCTTCTCCCATTACTGTGTCCTTAATCTGGAATACATTCTGTTTCATTTAAGATTGTTACCATAACCACTTGCAGTGAAAATGGCTCTTTACCACTATGTTGGGGAAAAACGACAGGCTTTAGGTGGACTTTTAAAGGAGAACTATGGGGTCAGGGCTTTTCCTCATAGTTCTCCTTAGGGTAACGGGAGGACACAAAGTAGCGTCCTCCCGTCACCCTAAGCTCAGTATACCGCGAACTACAGCTCGCGGTATACTGAGACGCAGGAGCGGATCCCGACATCGATGTCGAGATCCGCCCAGCTGCGTAAGTGACAGCTGGCTCTGCCTATCTAGAGGCAGAGCCAGCTGTACCCGCCCCCTCCCCCGTCCGTTCCGCCAGTCAGCGCTGGCGAATCGGAGCGGGGAGGGGGGAATCCAGCCCCTCCCCTGTCATGGCAGAGAGCTGTGACAGGATCGAGAGGTGAGCGAACGCCGATATGTGTTCGCTCACTTCCCGATCTACTGAGCCGACCTGTGACAGTCTCATTGTCACAGGTCGGCTAGAACTATGAGGTGAGTGAAAAGCACTCGCCTCATAGTTCTCCTTTTAAGTACATTAATACCTCGGTTCACGAACGCTTCTTTTCGCAAAGAAAAAGTTCAGCAAAATTTTGCTTCCGTTCGCAAACTCCTCCATATCGGGTGACAAACATGACCGCGGCCATCTACCCCGCAGACAGACCTGTGCACACTGGCTGTGAAGCTTTTTTGTGTACTTTTTAGCACATACAGTATTTGATTCGGTTCGCAACTAGAATTGTGGAACGAATTAAGTTTGTGAACCGAGGTACCACTGTATAAGGAGAAGAGAACCTGGACGATGAGGTTGATTTAAATTAAATAAATGTAAAGCCAACTTTCCATCTTCCGGTGACTGAGAGGGATATGAAAGGTGTATACAAGTCATGCAGCCCCATGCTGAGTGCTTTTGTCTTTCAGTGGGAGAGGGAAATGAAATTGGCGGCACTGGCAGGTTGTCTAACCTGTCCAATTGACTTCCACCACAGAGTGGTTGGCCGGTCATCAATAGATATTGGTTTTCACCCAAACCAGAAAACATCAGGATCAGGCTCTTATCTCGTGCCTATGGTAGCTTTAAACAGCAAGAACATCTGCTGTACTCCAGACGGAAGGACAGTGTCAGCACCAATTCAGAGATGATTTAAGGTTGTACAGCCGAGTGATACACAAATGGGGAACTTAAATGTAATTTTAAGCTTTAACTCCTGAGTTTAGTGTCACTTTCAAATCTGTGACATATTTTAGATTGGGGTACCATGATATTTTGCAGATTGAGGAACCCTATGATAGTGACCATTCTTACACGTTGTAGCCATGTATCCTATCTGAGCTTCCCACACCTGTCCACTGGATGAAATCCTTGCAACGTGGCTTGCGCAGAATATTTAAATACCAGAGTTGATGATAATTCTAGAGGACGAGATGGCTGCTCTTTACTATCCCCCCCATAGTTTGTAGATCACTTGGGAGATTTGTTTTTTCTTGCATTGGCTTGTGTGTGGCCATATTTGCTGCCATCACTGTATTGTGGAATATAGCAGAGCTGACCATAGTTTGATCACAGCACTCTCTCCTTTTTTTTTTTTTTTAGCTGCTGTTGGCCACTTTTAAGGTCTTTCATACATTTTCTCTGACCCTTATAATGGCTCGGAGAAGAGAAATGTCAGGTACTATGAGCAGTACAGGCAGCTCTTTCTTTTCATATAGAAAAGTGCTTCTTTAAATTGACATTTGAAATCCTAGCTGCTGAAGACAACCGAATTCTTCTGGCCGCTTACAGTCCTGAGTGAAAGGTGAAGGAGAGCTGTATGGGTTTAAGTGGTTGTAAGAAGCAGTTTCTGGGCAAATCATTAGATTGCTTCTCACAAAATGAAAGGAGCCTTGTGATGGAAATAAGAACAGCTCTCTGCATCTGCTCCCTGAAACCCACACAGCAAGGTGGCACCTTGGTTTTGGGATGAAGACCAGTCGAGTGATGGAATGCCCAGGGATTTGATCCCTGCTGAATGGGGGAGACTCGGCCAGTCTAAACTCGGCAGCAGAGATCAAAATCGCCAGGTGCCTAGGCTTGCCTTGATCATGCGATTGGGATCCTAAAACAGGTTTCTGATGCAAAGTTAAGTTGACGTCTTTAGAACTGAATTTTACAGAACTGGCTAAAAACACAGATTTACCGTCCTTAACCCCTTCGTGACTGACGACGTACAGTGTACGTCGCCAGCATCGGGGCTGTTTAAACAGACTCCCGGTGACTTTTGCCCGCCGGCACTCTATTTAAACTTGTAGAGCCGACTGTCGGCTTTACAAATTTGTTTTCCTCTCCATCCAGTCCTGAGATTTACACCGCTCGGCCACACATCATAAACTGTAAGATTTTTTTTTTTTTTTTGCTATATATGCACTTGCCTAAATTTGTCTTCATTTTAATTTGGTGATGTGAATGGTTCACCTTTTTTAATTTTGTAACTTTTTTAACAGGTGAGGGGGAAGAGTCAGAAGAACCACCTAAAGTAGTTATACAAGAAGTCAAGGAAGATAATGCCTTCTATTCCAAGAAGTGAGTTGACATGACTTTTTTTTCTTCCATGTAATAAATGCATGTTCCTCACCCTGGTTCAGTGGAGGGCCTTTTGGCCTACGTCACTATAAACTGGCAGGTTGTGCTTTCTGATTGCATTCCAAGCCCTTGACTATAGAAACCACAGTGTCTATACACTGATAGTGGCCAATATGTCTGGAAAAACGGGATGCAGTTTGGAATAAATTATTTTGTTTTTTTGCTGTGAACACTTGGGTGGCAATTCTGGGTGAACAGTTGTGCAAGGGGCATGAATGATATTTGATTGCTGCTGCCACTTCCCTAAAATGAGGAAGAATCCACTTATATGTAACTTGTAGAAAGCGTCTATCACTCCGTTGTGCTTTGCTCTGGTTCAGTGGATGCCGTTTTGCTACCTTTTTTGTCTCGCCTCCCCACAACTCCATGGAATGAATCCAGATAATCCAATCACACAGGAATCTGAGGCTCTGTAATGTCAGAATAGATAGTTATCTCGTATTGGGTTCTGAGCAGCAGCTATGGCTCGGCAGCAATCACACCGCTACTTTATCAACAAGATGGGCACACTTTGGGATAGTTCACAATCCTATTTTGTGGATTATATCGAACCACCCGTCTTTGGCAGAAGGCCAGATTAAGTACTGCTTCAAATTGAGGCTTCAACAGACCTTGTTTGGGAAGCTGCACAAGAAATGATTGTGTTTACCCAATACAACCAACAACAAAAATGGGGTATTCTGTTTGTATGCACTAAAAAATCATTTTAGTGTTTTTTTGTGTAGTCCCCCCCCCTAATGTATTGATTTGACAGATATTTGTGCATATGTTTTCAGAAAACATATCATTGTTTGGGAGTTTTTTAAGCTGTTTTCTAGCCACAAATTCAGATTGTATTATGTGCTTAAAAGTTACTTTTTTTTAAAATGGCTTCAGACACAAAGTGGTTAAATATAAAGTGATCACATTTGAATCTGCCTGAGCTGACCTTCATTATGAAACGTGTAACCTTCACCCTTGTCCAATGTTTTCTGTATTGTCCTGCTGTTAGTGCTGACCTCTCCATGGTTATGTGTACTGCACTACCTCCAACGGCAGAGCTACATGCTGGGTTATAATGTGCTATTTAAAGCTATGGCATTTTACACTAAATGGCTGTTCACAGGATGTTTTGTTTTTAATGATGTGATTGACAGCCTGCTAAACAGATAGTTATGTAGTAGGTGAGGTTGTATAAAGACACAGGTCCATCCTGTTCAACCTGTGTGTGTTTCTCTGTATTTAATAGGCTCCTAGTACTTCCCTTATCCTTTATATATTTACTGGAAGTAACTCATCAAGAAGTTTCTTGAATTTATTAATGCTATTAGAGGATACCACTCCCTATGGAAGGGAATTCCACAGGTTTTACTATTCTCACAGTTAAAAAAAAAACCAACTCCTTGGGCAGTCTGAGACCCCGTTCACACTGAGCAGTTTATTGCGCGATTTCTGCTCCAAAATCGCGCACATTTCCGCGCAATATCGCTCAATGTAGCTTTGTCCAATGTATTTCAATGGAGCTGTTCACATCTCACAGCTCCAATGTCGCCTATAGCTCGTCGCTCGAACATAACCTATTTTTCAGCAGATGTGTCCCCAATAGACTCAATGGTGTCGCGCATTACCGGCGATATTGCACGGCCTTGTCACACTACAGAAGGGTCACTTTTGCACCGCAATATGTCGCATCAAGACTGCTGTTGATTGGTTACAGCCCAACGTAGCAGCGACGAAGTCCCTCCCAAAAGTTGCGCTACGTATCGCGACAAAATGCGCACTATCGCGCAATGTAACTTAATGCCCCTCGGCACGAAATCGCACGGATTCTGTCGCTCAGTGTGAATGGGGTCTAAGATTAAACCTCCTCTCTTCTAACCTCTTGTGGGATAGAGGGATCTGTTTTCCACAAGTAACTGATTTTTTTTTTCTTCAGGTGCAAGCTCTTCTATAAGAAAGACAATGAATTTAAAGAAAAGGGAGTCGGCACGCTTCACCTAAAACCAGTAGGAGATCAGAAGACCCAGCTGCTGGTTCGTGCTGATACAAACCTCGGTGGGTGATGTTAAAGGAGTTGTACAGTCCCAGCATTTCCTATCCTATTATAACATCGGCATTGTAATAGGAATACATAGTAGAGTTGTCTTTGATAATCTAATGAAAGCTTACTTGTAAAAATCCCTTTTATGTAGTGAGTGCTGCCTTCCATCTGCCCATCACTGTCACCAACTTCCTGCATGCCCAGTGCAGTGTGCTTTGCATCTCTTTCCCTACTGCTTGATGTGACCCAATATTGATTTTTCAACACTACATAACCCATAATCCATTGCTTCCAGCACGCAATGATAATGTTACATTGTTTAGCTGCCGAGTTGTAATTCAGAATGCAGGCTCTGAGAGTTTTCACACAAGGAAGTGCATATTCACAAGGCTGAGTGAAATTGTGTCGGTGCATTGGGGAAGTCCATCCTATGGGCATCTTCAATAAGTAAGTGTACAAACTTCTAGATGGATATGGTTATTAGTTGTGGGAGTTCAATACAGAAATACAAATGTATTTTTAGTTTTTGACTAGAGATACCCTTTAAGCTTGACACGCCATTTTTAATTTATTGGGCCAATCTTCTGCATTAACTGGACCTAAAAGATACCCTGTGACTTTGAACATTCAGGGACAAGTAACATTCAATGACCAGTAACAAGTTATCTTTAAAGGAGAACTATGAGGTGATTGCTTTTCACTCACCTCATAGTTCTAGCCGACCTGTGACAATGAGACTGTCACAGTAGATCGGGAGGTGAGCTAACCGATACCGGCGTTCGCTCACCTCTCGATCCTATCACGGCTTTCTGCCGTGACAGGTGAGGGGCTGGATTCCCCCCTCCCCGATCCGCCAGTGCTGACTGGTTGAACGGACGTGGGAGGGGGTGGGTACAGCTGGCTCTGCCTCTAGATAGGCAGAGCCAGCTATCAGTCACGCAGCTGGGCGGATCCCGGCATAATTGTCGGGATCAGCTGCGGCGTCTCAGTATACCGCGAGCTACAGCTCGCGGTATACTGAGCCTAGGGTGACGGGAGGATGCTAGTTTGTGTCCTCCCGTTACCCTAAGGAGAACTATGGGGAAAAGCCTTAACCCCATAGTTCTCCTTTTAACCTCCCTGGCGGTATTCCCGAGTGTAGCTCGGGGTTACTCTTCCATACCATAAGCGGTAACCCCGAGCTACACTCGGGAATGCCGCATAGCATTTACTTACCTTGTCCCTCGAGCCGCGCTGTGTTCTGCGGCCGATGCTGTCTTCCGGTTCCGCTCCTTGCGAGCATACGCATCGCAGGGGGGCGGAACCGGCGGCATATTAAAGAAAAAAAACTACAAAGACGAAAACAATTCGAGAAAAAAAACAGACCGAAAAATGACATTAAAAAAAAAATAAAAAATCATACCGCCAGGGAGGTTAAAGACCAAGCTCGGCAGCCTCTAATGCTTCCCTTCCCTGCTTCTCTCCGTTGGAGGTGGGATTGAGAACCATTGCTGGAGTTCATGTAAATAGGAAGGGGCTTCCAAGAGGCTGCAGCACTGAGATTCAACAATGGATGAAGATGTGAAAACAAAATATTTATAAAACCATATGATGGCTTAAATCGCTTTGCTTTAGCATACGGAATATTCAGTTAGGGTTTACATCTGATTTGCTCCCTTCTTGGGGGATGAGCATGAAAATGATCAAGTTCTGGCATGAAGAATAATAATGAACTTGTTTTTGTCATCTACTGTAGGCAACATCCTACTGAACATTTTGGTGCAGCCTTCTATGCCGTGCTCAAGAATGGGAAAAAACAATGTGATGATTGTTTGCGTTCCTAACCCTCCAATCGATGAGAAGAATCCCACCGTCCCCATCACCATGCTGATCAGAGTGAAAACTACGGAGGATGCTGATGAGCTGCACAAACTTCTCCTGGAGAAGAAGGGAGCCTAAAGAGCCGGCCCTTTACAGGATTACCTTCCTTGCCAATCTGCTGCTCAATATCGAACTCAAAAGGTCACCATTTATTATCATGTCTGTTGACCCTCATAACTTCAGAGTGTTTTTCATAAGTTTTTGTTAAGAAAGGAATCAATTGGTAATAAAAGCTTTAAGGAAAGTTTTTAGTTTGTAGAATGGAAGGTGAAGAATTCCTGACACAGATACGAGTGATCTTTATTGTCAAAGCCTTAGCTGTTCTTCACGCGAGATCCTTCATGTTTACAGTGTGATGATCAGGGCCTTAATTCGCATTCCTTTCCTCTAGCTCCAGATTTCTTAATCTTTGCTGAGTTGCCAGACACCATCATAGGATTTTCAGAGTCCTCGAGCGGTCTGTGCTGTGTTTGGTCAAAGTATCACCACTTTACTTCTGCAGCCCCGCTCTTTCTGTACTGACTTCTACTCAGTCCCGTCCGACAGATCATCCACAGACTCATCCAACCAGGAGACGGCCCTCTACAACACGTCATCTGGAGCCCGTGAAGCAAAAGCTTCTTCAGGTGGAAGGGTCATTCCTTCCCGCACTTCTATCTTGTTATAATTTGAATGTTTATGGGCTGGATGACATGCTGGCATATCATAGGTTTTGCAGGGTCTCACTGGTGACCTATTCCTATTGGAGATCTTAGCCCGGCTGCTTTGTGCAGCCTCAGTCCACCTCCTGTACTTTAAAATGAACCTATATTCAGGGAATTCCCAGATATATAACCTCTGTAGCGAGTACCCCCCTCCCCCGGATCTTATGGAGCCTCAAGAAAAAAACTTTACCTTTTTAAATATGGGGCAGATGTCATCTATTTTGATTGCATCCCACTATTCAATACTAGTTGTCTAACCTCTGCCATTTGGTGGGGGTTGCTCGGCAGGGGGAGGTAGACTTGAAAAAAATCTTGCTGTCTCCACCCTCCTCCCATTACAGGGAAGAGGGTGAAACACCACTACTCCAAACCACCAACTCCCCCTCATGTGACAATGTTTGGGGCTGAGCACTGTCCCTTGGAAGGGCCAGTGACGCCATCCTCCCAGGTATGGGGGAGGAGAGGGACGAGTTGTTAAGTGACCCTCACTCTTTCCTGAATGGGCAGATGATGGTGTCTAAGAATCCGGTTGGTGATTGCACATTTTGTTTTCAGCTCTGCCCAGGGCGAGTGTCACAGCTATTCACTAATGCAGCGCTGTATGATTTTGGTTAAATTGGTGGCTGTTGGCCAGACCACATGTATCATTGGCATGAATACTTCGATGTAATAGGAGCTAGACACGCAATTGGATGTTTGTGAAACGGCTCAAAGCCTGAGGCCATGTTCACACCCAAGCGACAGCGTTTTCATGCCTACCTGCGCACGTTTTTGCGCAAGTTTTACACGCATATATTGTCATTTTTGTGACCAGATTGTGACATTTAAATGGGAAAAGTGCGTAAAAAGCGCAAAATAATTGTGTCGTGCATTTCCTACTGGGTCTAGGGGGAGAACTCGCGCTGATCTGGCCAAAAAAACCTAATTGAACTTTTTCTTCACACGACGCTGCGCTCGGGTGTGAACTGAGACTATAGAATAAATGGGATTTCTTGTCTTGAGCGTTTTCACTGTGGACAAATGTGACAAAACACCTAGGTGTGAATGGGGCCTTTTTATTCTCAAACTACTTCACGTTGTGTTTTGTTTAGTAACAACTAAGAAATCCTTCAAAGTTGTGTTCTGTTCGCACAAAGGCAGAATCTGTAGATTCTGCTGACTTCAGGACTGTTATACTGGTTGCTATGGGATGAAAAGGGCACAAGTTGGGTCTGTTTGTCTGAGACCGATAGAATGCCCCATAGAACTTAAAAAAAGTTTTCTACCTTTTTTTTGTGACGAGCATGACTGTAAAATCACTGTGTTGCTCTGTGCGTTTGGACATTCTGCCGGGCAGATAGGCCTTCCTGTTGTGTTGGCACAAATCGGAATTGCAGCATTGCCCACAACTGCTGTAGTCAGGGCTTTGTATGACGGTATTCACGGTAAAATGACAGGTTCTCTTGTAAGAGAAAAGCCCACCCAGTAATGCCTAAAAAAAAAATGTAAGGTAGATGACGCCAGTGCCCTTGCTCAGTGGGAGGTTTTGCCGTTACACTACTTGCATAATCAGGCTGGGTGTAGTAGTGAGCTTCCTAGGTATTCCTTCAGACGTACAAATGCCTCACCAGAACTTGCCCCACTACTGGCCTGAGGTGTGGGATGCCATATAACAGGCTGGTTGGTAATTTTAACATCAATGGGAGGACGATTAAATACTGTTGCCATGGTTGCAAGAAAATCCATTTTGATTGGAGTGTTTTGGCAGCTGTGGAAATTCACGACCTGGAAATTTTATAACTAAATGTCATGAGTATAATTTGGAGACTGTCAATAGGGACTTCTCTCAGACAATGCTAGTTGATTGACTGTTATGCTGACCTTCTAGAGGCAATACATAGTCACCGACCTGACACAAGCATGGCCAACAAAGTCCAAACATTTAATTGGCTTACTTGCACCTAGTTGGTGAAAGAATCCATTGGCTTCGTATGATGGGCGGCTACCACTTTCAGCAATGGCAACCTACGTACTTCTAAAAGTAAAGAAAACGTGACCCTGCCATGAAGAGCTCCAACCCAGCTAAAGGCAGCCTGTAAAGAAAGCAGATGTACAATGACCTTTCCAGGATCCTGTGATGCAGATATCTGACACTTCCAAGCTGTGTTGAATACCAGCTCCCCTATGCGCCGTGGTTCCTTCTGTCCTTTAATGTCATAGGGGCCAGAGAAGGGAACATCAGCCTGCTGCATGAGAGCGTATACTTGACAAACCCGGAAGTGTCAGATAGTTGCAGTGGCCAGAGATCACTTGGCACTGGAGAATGTTCATTATACATTTTGTTCCTTCACAGACTGTCATAAAGAGCTCCAAACTAAACTGAAGGCAAAGTCCCATTAAATTATAACCAATCATTCAATCAATTTTGAATGAACCTGGTTGTCAGCCAATGACTCTTCTGCTGTAGAACGAATTATCATCAGCAAGCGAGGTGAAGCTGCTTGTCATTTGTGGATCGTTTTAGGTAGAACTCCAGTTTTTTGTTTTTTTTAGATGCAGTGATGAAGGGTCAGGGCCTAATTCAGATTTGTGTTGTGTCTCCTATTGGGAGATTTATCCCTTGAATAGAAATCTCACTAACGGGAAGTGAGGGAAAGTCGCCCCAAGTAACATCTACCCAATGGGGAGGCAAATGGCAATAAAAACAGATTCTATTCCTTCCATTAAAGCTGTACTCCAGGCAATCCACTAAATACACAAGAGCCATTTTATCTGCCAGCAGATTTGTGGGTGGGGGGGTTGTATCTCCTCGTGAGATGTACAGAGCACAGAACTGTGGCAGTGCAAAAGACCTGATTTTAAGTAACACAGGTCTTGTCCCTCCGCCAGCCTGTGACTGGACAGTAAAAGGAGAAGCAGCAGACAGATGAGCTCTGCTCTCGCCTCCTATCGGCATGCTCTTTGCACTGTAGCACAACTGATTTCCTCCTTGCACTTCTCCCTTTCCCAGTTTGAGCCCTGGTGTACAGTGCTGCAAGAAGCAAAGACCAGGTAGAATTCCGGTACACTGCTTACATATAAAAGTACATGTAATGGTTACAGAGCTTTGTTTTGCGTCTTATCTGCCTAGAGTTCAGCTTTAATAGGATTCCAGCCTTTCCTCAGTCTGAAGCTAAGCACTTCTGCTGGAGTTCTAGCTTAAGCTCTTCTGCTGTACCCCGGAGGCACTTGTGAAGAATTGCTCACTTTTGTGTTCTGAATGGACAGAATACTGCAAAATTTGTCTTACAATGTTATTTCTGCACTTTACAAGAATCCTGTGAATCATGCTGTAGGATTTCCATTCCCATAATGATTTGCAAAGACTTTCTTTCTGTTATGATCACTGTACATTTGATGGATGGTTTGTGTGGGTACTTGACAAAATTGTCTCAGAGCTTTGAAATGGAATAAAGTATGTTACTTTTCAAAGGTTTCCTTCCTTCCTTTGTAAATGGCGACACATTATGACGACGTGCTGGGCTGAAACGGTAGTATAAGGATCCTCATTATCATCGGAGTCCAATGAGAGTGGTAAATTACAGTCACGTGAAGATACTTATCCCTCTGTAAAGCTTTGACAATTGAGCCTCTTATCTGAAGACTAAGTCTGGCCATTTAGGGGTTACAAAGCCTGCATGCCGAACGGATTCATTTTCATTCTGGCGTCTAAATGCCGCTGATTTCCCTGTTTCATTCTCTACTGGTTCTGAGCAAGCAGAAATATGGGCCGTGTGCTTTAGTTCTAGACATCAGATATTGGTAAAGAGAATCGTGTGACAAGAGATTGCATGCCACTTGAGGGCTGGTTCACACAAACAGAGCGGTCGGGCTCGAACGCACTGAATCGCATTCTGCCGGCTCCCTGTGCTCAGAGGCGTGGCAGCGCGTTAAAGTCAATGGCACCACAGCCATGCCCCCCCTGCCTGCAGTTCAATCGCCGGCATCTGAACATGTGGCACATTAGTGCTTGCGTTCCGGTCCAGCGCGAGCTGCAAAAATGCTGCAAGTTTTGGGTGCGGCCATTGACTTCAATGCACCGCCACGCCCCCTCATGCTACAAAACAAAGTCGGCCGGATTGTGTTCCGGAGGCCGAATGCACTGGAACCATCTCCCTGGGGTCCATGTGAAGCCTGCACAGCCTCCCACAAGCTGCCGTGGCTGCATATTGCTGAGGGAGTCCAGGTCTCTGCGGACTGCCGCTGCCTCCAGTGCTGCCCAGCAGACATCCGCCTCCACAGATGTGAGTACTGGGCTCATGCCCCTCAGGCAATAGTGCAGCCATAGGAGGCGTAGGGTCCTCAAAGCCTAACAGTGGTTCTGGGAAGAGTTCTGTTTTCTCTGGAACAGTTTTTGTTAGCCCAATGTTGTAGTTTTTCCTCCCCTTCACTCCCTGTCTCGGGGGTCTTCCTCAGCACCCTCCAGGACACCTTTCTCTAACCTATTTGGTGTAGTCTGCTGCTATAATAGCTGAATTCCTGGGGGAAAAAAAATCTAAAAGTTCTCAGACCTCAGGGGGCTCCCTCTCATTTGTATATAGAGTCTCCCTCTGCCTGCTTGTTTACTCCCTGAGGAAGAAGATGAAGACATGGCTGCTTCCCCTTCCTTGAACTCATCCCAGGAAGACCTTTCTCCTGACTTTACACAAGAGGTCTCCAGCATAGCTTCAACCTGGCCAACAACAGAAACAAGATAATCTGTTTACCTAAAACAGATTTTCATTCCCTACATTGCAGATATATGGTAGAGCCATACTGCCACGTCAAGGCACCTCTAGTAAGTGTGGTCCCCAATGCTACCTGAGATTCCCATCTATGGGACATATAGTACAGTATATACTGTGAGAGCCGTCTCACCTGGAGGCAATCCCATCCTACAC